ATGCTGAAAAGGAGAGGGGCAGGGAGAAGGCCCGCAAACGCCGAAGCGCTTCTAGTGGCAGCAGTAGGTTGGTTATATGTTTTATATTTTTGGCCAGTCAGTAGTGGTGGGAATCTCTAGGCACCTCACGATTCAATTTGATTACGATTCAGAGGGCTGCGATGTGATTATAAAACGATTATATTCGGCGCCTCAGTCAGAATTTAAGGTGGAACGGGAAAATCCGAACAAGAAGCTGGAGAATGAGAAGCGACTTCAGCCTCGGAAAACAGTCGAACGCTGAGAGACATTTTACAATAAACTGCTCTAGTTTTGAGGAAAAGTTTTCTGGCAGAGATAGGAGCAAAGCGGCTATTAAAGCTTAAAGCAGAGCAATGTAAATCTGCGCTCTCGTTTGTATGGTTTGGGCCAATACTAGGACATTAACACATACTGAGACATACTGGACATTAAATGTTGTGGCTCCCAAGGTGGTTTGATTTTTGTTGAAAGGACAAAATGGCTCTTCTTATCATTTGTGTTGTGACTCCTGACCTAACCTGGCTTTTAATGCAGAGGGAGCCGGTCGGATTTCTCACTCATCCAGTTGTGTTTTTGTTATGTGCCGCCACAGACTGTCCGGGCGCTGCACTTCCGCACTTCCAAGTTCCGCCATTTGCGTTCCGTCAACATTACATTATAAATTAAATATTTAGAAGATCAGTTTTTTACATTTGTGAATCGATTCAGAATCGTTCACGTCCGCATCGCGATGCGTCTAAGAATCGATTTTTGTCCCGCACCCCTACCATTTAGAGTGTCCTCTTGTTAACACAGTGTGGGCGGCAGTTCTCCAATTGTTTTTCTCCTGTTGGTTTGCTTGTAGCTCCAGCTCCAGCAGCAGCTCTGCATCCAGCTCCGGCTCATCGAGTGGCTCCAGTTCATCTTCGGCTTCTAGTCGCTCTGGCTCTTCCAGCTCTCGTTCTTCGAGTTCCTCAAGCTCATCTGGGTCTCCCAGCCCCAGCCGCCGTCGCCATGACAACCGACGACACTCCCGCTCCAAGTATGTCATAGCCTGTCCAAGCATAGAAGTTCTACCCACACTATTTTTGCCCCCCATAAGGCTTTACAAGAGTTATACAGTATAGTTTCACATTCTACATTTCAGTCAAATGTAAACAACCAGCAAGTTAACCATGCTGAAGAACATTCATGTACAAAATGTACAGCTGTGAAATAGCTTAGGGATGATAATTGATATTATCGGATATTGCGATAATTTAAAAAGTGGCAATATCATGCAAATCATCACTTTTTCATGTGGCCAAACAGAGGTAACAGTTAACTGAGCAGGCAATGTTTTATACAAGCATTCAAATCGAACACGACTAGGTGCCTTCTTATCCTAAAATAATGCTGCTTGAGTAGAAAGATGATTCTTAAATGGTAGGGTGAGCATCACACTGAACACTCTCTCTACCAGTTATGATCTTAACACTAAGATGCTTTTGGGAAACCCAGCCTAAATTGGTTGAAAAGTGGTCTGAGTTTTTTCATCATACTTGTATCATTCTTACCACTGGTTCTGAGTATTGATAGTGAGTCCTTAAACTGCTGTTAACCATTAACCATATTTATCATGCAAATGCATATATAATATAATGTAATATAATATAATATAATATAACATAACTTCCTAAAATGTCTTTGTGTGTTATAGCATTAACATTACCCTTTACTGGAACTAGGGGGCCAACCCCAAACCCTGAAAAACAGCCCCAGACATAGTTCTGATTAAAGCTTTAGAGTAATCACAAAGAAGCACTGTGATAAAAGTTCAACGAAGAAATAAGAACAAACATGAGGACATATAAAGACAAATATAGGAAATGGATAGATGAAATAAGCTTCGATCCAGATGATGCTCTAAAGGAATGAGTCCACAGAGTTTCCAGAGTAAGCCTCCTGTTTTATTTGTTGTTATTTTGTATTCCACTTCAGGTGCTTTCTTGGCATTGAGACTGACTCTATAGTTCTGACTCTTTAATAGATCCAAATCAGTTAAGAAGGATGACAAGGAGCGCCGTAGAAGAAGCCCGAGTCCACGTCCTACTAAGGTTTACTTGGGCCGTCTGACCAGAAACGTCGTTAAAGTGAGTCTTGAGTTCGCCTTGTGAGCTCCAAGTGATGTTGAACATTTTGTTGGTTTTGGTCCTTGAGATATCAGTGCTGGAGCTGCTTTATTCATTGTCTTATGAAGGAACACATCCAAGAGATCTTCTCAACCTATGGAAAGATCAAGATGATCGACATGCCAATGGACAGACTACACCCTCATCTGTCCAAGGGCTACGCCTATGTGGAGTTTGAAACTGCAGATGAGGCAGAAAAGGCACTCAGACACATGGATGGAGGTTGGTTGACACCAGAATTCTTTTCTTTACATTTCTTGATGGATACTATAGGTATTGTAGTTCTTTTAATTACTGTGATTGTACGGTGTTCACAGGTCAAATTGATGGCCAAGAGATTACTGCCACAGCTGTCCTGACCCCCAGGGTGCGCCCTGCCCCCCGCAGACTCACCCCCCCACGCAGGATGCCACCTCCACCACCCATGTGGCGACGGACTCCGCCACGCATGAGGCGCAGGTTGGCAAGGCATCTAAAATACAAGTGCATAGCATCTAATATACCAGTACTGGAGGTTGAAATTAATTCAGTAGAGCACATGTGCAAAACTCACCTTCAGTTTTTAAACCAAAAGAAGTTCAGCTTTATATTCATTTAACAGGTAGTGCAAGCCACACAATCTAATTGGCTGAGTACAAAAGAAATAGAAAAATGTATGTATTAATAAAGATACGATTTGGAGGTCTTTGTTTCCATTTTATTACTAAAATAAAACAGTGTTTTCTGGCTTATTGCTCTACTGTATGTTATTTTATAACATACTCTCTCTTGTTCTGTTGCTGTGTTCCAAAACATGTTGTAGGTCACGGTCTCCACGGAGACGCTCTCCACCCCGCCGCAGGTCCAGATCCCGGTCACCAGGACGACGTCGCCACCGCTCTCGCTCCAGCTCCAACTCCTCGCGGTAGAGGGCAGCATGTTGCTCCCGTCTGTTCTCCTTCTGTTCAGCTTCTGCACCATTTCAAATGTGAAGTCTTCTCGTTCTTCTTCAAAACTCTAAGTGGTGTTTATTTGTGAATATTACTGCCTGCTGATATTTGCAACCTTATTGTAAATGTTTTAAACTACGTTATTTAAAATGTTATGGCTTTACCTGTGTAATGTAAATACTTGGTGACTGTTAGGTTTTCATTCCAGCATTATTTTAGTTAAGCCTATAACTATATACATTGTACATGACCTGTAGTCAGTGACTCTTCCTATCTTTGAACATTTTTGATACCCAGGGCTGCTGACATTCATAGTTGTGCAAGTGATGGAGTCTGATCAGGGTATAAATGCCCAGAGATGTATATGATCTTGAATACATTATATGTAGGTATTTTCATGTTTGTGCTTCTTTTAATAATATTCAATTAAATGCGTAGACATTAAGTAGAAAACGCAGAATTGTGGTTTATAAACTGCCTCCTGCAAGCCAAAAAGTTGAATAATCTGCACAATGACCAAATAAAGAGCAAAAACTGTGCATCACCATTCGACTTGACTTCACTGTCTGCTACCATGCAGGCAAACAATTTATCCGGGATGTTATTCTGGCTTCGTCCAGAGCGAATATCTCACAAACTTGAGCCAGGTTCATAAAGAAGGCACAACTGAAAACCGATATAGACAATTCCACAGATCCACTGTATCGTCCCCATCTTCTATGGCTCTGTAAAAGAGCCCAGTGAATGGTATGTATAAGCATGTTAAAGGAAACTGTTAAGATTAAAGATGTTTTCTAGTTTTCATTGTTTTAAAATAGTGTTGGTGTGTGTGTATTTTGTAAAATGCATCCTTCTCAAGCAAGGCACAGTGCAAATACTACCTCAGGTACAGGACAACCACAGGTTACAGAACAGCTCTCAGTTCTTCTACAAGTAGTCTTGGACAAAAAGTATAAAACCAGTCCAACAGGTTATTATGTGAATTATGTGTAGTACTTTAACATTAACTTGACATTTTAGCAAAAATCTTTACTTAACTATTAGCTTAATTCCTATCATTCGGTATGCACTAGCTTTGGTTTCTAGTAGTTTATGTGCAACTGCTGTAAAAAGCCATGGACAAGTGTGGAACAGTAAAATAGTCCTAACATTAGATCACATGCATTGTGTTTTTAACCAAACAGGTCTTATCATAAAATTTCACTAAAAGCACAACTGTTTGTGAATATTGCATCAGTGCATTCGCAGTATAGTGTCATTTTATGTCCTATAGAAGCCTGTGGGGCGCAACTTTTTTGCCATTTTTTTTTTTTTGCTTAAAGGGGTATTCTGGCCTAAAACTAGCATTTAATGTAATGCTTAATGTTGCACAGCATTACATCCCTCAGCCTCTTTTGTTTGCCAGAATTCACAAATTTGTGTCCTTTTGTGTTTTCATCCATCAGTGTTTTTTTCATTACGCTACCCAGCATGCACTACACAAACACATCACACAATGACTGGGAAACCACTGATGCAGCAGCTAATAAATACAGCCGTGACATTTTGCTTCCAAGCAGTAATATCAGATATTTGGCTTTCTATTGCATTAGCTGTGGAAAAAAGCTACAGAACTTTCAAACAGCCTTCTCACAATTAACCACCCTAAAACGCTTTTCAAAAGATCCTGTCACCTTCAAGATAGTGTTTAAACCAGAAAATCTTACCCTAGAAACTACTGTGGCTCCGCTGTAGGAGGTGAGTGGGCATGTTTACAACAGTAGTGTTGGATACATTTTTCATTTTGGCCAGAGTGTCCCTTTAAGAATTTTCCTTTAATTAACATCTGTTACACTAGATTTGCTAGACTTAAAAAATCTGCTCCCACTGAGGTGTATAAACAACATATTCAAGAGAACAATAGAATATCGAACATTTTTATATTTACACAATTTACATAACATCTTCAACATCACAGCTTAAATAACCTAAGGGAGCTGAAAAGGTGGAGAGGAAGTAGTAATGCACTTCACAAACATTCTTCAGGGTTTTGCCTCTGTGTTCTCTGCTTGGGGTGCGTCCATCAGATCCCTGAAGCCAAGCTTTTCCAGAGGTTCCTTAGCCATCAACTGCCTAAACAAGGTGTACAATACAGTGTTGTAAGTAATGTTCATAAGCAGCGAGGGTAGAGTTAAGGATGTGTTTTGGTTTATATATTGTACAATCTTTCCAGCATGAAGCTGAAATTTTGAAATTGCTGCACTATTTAAAGAAGTATTCCAAAAATTCCATTTTTCAAAAAAATTCTGAATAATTCAGTCCTTGTGAATAAGCAAAGTAATTTAGAGTGGTTTGACGTGAAACAGTTAATTATAGAGAAACACACATTCTCTGATTTCTTTATAGCAGTGGTGACAGGAACCGGGGGTCACCATGTCTAAAACAAAAATATACTTATTTTATATACTATCCAAAACCACCAGTGAACCTACACGTGTCTACTAAGTTTTTATTTGTAATCTTCATGATGGTAAAATAGAAATAAATCAGAAAAAATAAGTGTTTTGGGGGGACTATTTTGCCTCACAAGACCCTGCATGTATCCCTCTGCAATGAATGGATGAAAATAGATTCAACATACATTTTAAGATAAAACTTTATCACAAAACAATAAACCATAAAACAAAATGTCATAAGCAACGTGTCAGACATCAGACAGCGTTTATCTAACCATTTCATGTAATAGTGTTTTGTGAGGGAGCTTTCAGAGGCATTAACTCTTTAGACGTCTGGTTCCTATCACCGCCACTGGGAACAATTCTGACTCAAGTTTCTCTAGAACAAAGCATTTCACACCAAACCGCTCAGAATGACTTTATTTTACTTCCCTAACATGTACCTTTGTAGAATTAAAAAAAAACAGGTGAAGTTGTCCTCTAAGGTGGAACAGAGTTTTCAAATAAGAAGCTTGTGAACAAAAAAGCTAACTTACTTTTCCATCCTGCACTCCAGATACTCTTTAGACTGCAGACGACACAGAGAGTTGTCGAAGTTGTTCTCTCTGAGGCAGCGCATAAAGCTCTCTTTGAACGATTTACATTCACCTGCAAATACAAACGGTAACGTTATCATACTGTAAAGAACGAAATATTACCGTAATCACAACATGCGCTGCACGTGCGCAGAGCGGACAGCTCTCAGCAGGGCACGGTTAGCCTACTGCTTAGCTATGAAGCTAAAGCTACCGCAGATTCGTGTTTTTACAGTTACCGAAATGATCTAAGGGGAAGGATCCTTTATCCGGTGCCCGAGGTTTGAACGACTTGGTTCCGAAATTCATAGCCGTCGACATGACTGAACTTTTTTAAAGATGTAACTACATTTGACCGAAACTGAGGACACGGTTGTTTTGGGAAACTAACCACCAAACGTTCTTACTTAGGCACTTCAAAATAAAAGTCCACACCGTGGGCCTGCCTGTCTGCGTACTAGCTGTGTCCGTACTGTATAATTTATTTCATTTAAAATGTTCATATCATGCTGATGATAGAAAAGTCATATAACTATCTTTTTGCTAAACGATTCTCGTAAATAAAGTTACCCAATATTAAGTAAGATATCTAATATACAATACTTAAAGCTCTCAAATTTGATATTCTCACAAAGTAAAAGTGTAAATCTAAGTGTACATTTGAGAAAAAGAAATATAATTCTCTTAAAATTGACAATCTAGATGTTAAATCACCAATATATAAAATTTATCAGGTATGTTTTATATTCCATATAATACTACTACTTCTACTACTACTAAAACAATAATAATAATAATAATAATTATTATTATTATTATTATTATTATTATTATTATTATTATAATAATTATTATTATTATTATTATTATAGTTTCAGATCACTTCCATTTCTTTGTGTCTCTGCTGACTTTTTATGCATGCTAAGTTTTTTAAGGCAAGATGTGACAATATTGATATGTTGTTACACATGATTTTGAACTTTTCAAACACTTTGATTCACATTTGTCTTCCAATCTGTTTAAATTGTGTAAATGTCTTTTTGTCCTGAGAGCGCTTTGAGAATGTGTAAATAGATAAGCAACTTTAAACTCCCATGTTGGCAAAGAAGAAAGAACACAGCTTTGAACACAGTTTAAAAGAATAAACCATTTTATTCATATGTACAGTTAACAAACAGTATATACAGTGGTTTAATAAATTAAGTTTACAGAGTCTGGTTCTTAGAGCTTGGGAACTTGGCAGGTCCAGCTGGATGAGTCAGACTGATACACAAATTCTGTCCTGTGGAGCAGAAAAAAAGATGTAAGCTTAGAGCAGACATTTGTTTAACATTATCATTATCTACATCGTCATGGCAACAGGATGAGTAGAAGTAGTTCTGATTATCAGAGGTGGATGCAACAGCCTGAAACCATACTCAAGTAAAGGTTTTGTATCTTAGGTGAAGTATTGACGTAAATAGATGTAAAAGTAGCCTAGGAAAAAGTAACTTGATTGAAAACATTATCAGGTCTAAAAACTCAAGTACTGACTGTAGAACTGCAGTGGAACTTCGTAGTACATCAATCCAACATCTATCAGCATAAGAAGTGTAGTTTGCTCAGCTCTATTCCTCTCTTATTTGGATGATTTTGGTCCAAAATAAAATGCTAACACTCAAAAGTGAGTGTTGTGAACAGCAGCAAAACAGACCCCCCAAAAAAATTAGGAACTCAATGTGAAAGGCTTAAATTGCTTTTCTCATAGATGTATTTGAGTAGAAAAAAGTGTATTATCATTTGAAAACTCTGAGAAGTATATATCCATCATAATCATTAGTAGTAATGATTGTAGTGTCTTGATACAGCAAAAATAAAGAGTGGTTAAAAATGTGCTTTATGCTAATACGTTATGTTTCAATTTTCAGTTTAATATGATAAAAGTGCAATATTTGTAAATGCTGTGGTTTACAGTGTTCCAATCAAATGCTCTTGCCACAAGCTAATATGTTAGCCTCAAGCTAACACACTAGCCACAAGCTAACATTCTAATCACAATACAGCAGCATAATGATGCATTGTGTGCTCAAGTACACAGAATTGAGTAAAAGGAACAAGTTACTTTCCACATGTAATAATCAGACTCTCCTACAATAATTTGTGTTGTAGGTATAAAGTAAAATAACTCACTCTCTTTTTTGTGGTCGTCCATTTCCTCGACACAGCAGACCTTCATCACACGGGCAGATCTGGTTGATACTGAAGGCCAGTCCTCCGTCTGGCACAAAGCAGCTCTCTCCCAGCGCCAGCCGGCGTTTACACACCATCTCACCATGATGGCGAGCGCAGCACATCGAAGACCCGCAGTCTTTATCTACTTTACACCGAGCGCCTGAGTGGAAAAGAGAGGCAAAGGTAGGCCACATATACATACTAGTCCAATAATGCTGAGAATCTCTGTCCTCTCAACAATTAGATTTGATTAGAGTTTATTAGGAAACAATTCAGTACATCATGAAATCTTATTTCACCATGAATCGATTTTATTATTTTGGCAAGATACACAATTTAAAAATTTGACTTGAGGAACTATTTGCACAGTAGTGAAGTATAGACAATAAAATGAAATCTGACCAAGGAAAATAGGTCAGAAGTTTTTATTTTGGCCGAAACATGAGCGCACACAGTCGTATGCAAAAGTTTGGGAAACACTGCGTTTTCCCTTTTTTCAAGTGAAAATAAGTAGAGCACACATTTGCACATTTTAATACACATTTACTGTTTATTTGATGAATTTAACATATTGGGGGAAAAATAAAACATAACATGTGGCCTGTGCATATGTTATGGCACATTTTATATATTTATTTTTTGTTATTTTTTTCTTCAATATGTTAAACTCAGTAAATAAATAGAAATTGTGGACTAAACTTACCAGAAGAAAATATTTAGGTTTGTTCCTTGCAGAGGATGTGTTAACTTATTTGCACTCAACTAAACATGTCATTTGCCTGGGGGTGTTCAGACCTTTGCTAACTGTACTTTTGAATATTATTGCAATTGATTATGATCGATTATAACATTCCAACACTGATGCCATTAAATCAACAATTTCATGACGCTTTTGTTCATCCCTATTCATCGTGTAATGGTTCTAAATTGTCTGTATAGTTCTCGTCACTTGATCAAGGTGTTGTTCTTACCCTCTTGTCCCTCTGGGATGCTGCGCATGCATTTGCCAAACATGCAGCTGAGTCCCCGCACACATTGAGCGTCTCTCCTGCAATATTTCCCTTCTTGTCTAAGGGGAACACACAGGCCAAAATGACGATCACAGGAGAAACCCTTTCCACACGCTCGATCATGTTCACACGCCACCTAAAACAGGAGAACCAGAAACAATTTTTTGTTAACTAAGTACAAGATGTACAAGGAAAGAAATACAATATGCAGCAAATATATAGTATACAAATATGAAAATACAGTACAAACAACATGTAGTATAAATGAATAAGGTCAGTTCAGTAGCAACCAAGTAAGCCTGACTGGTAATGAATGAGGGTGTGTCCCATATTACAGCCCAAAGCCTTTTGTATTGTCGTTATTGTTGTATTGTGCCCATTCCCTTTATTTGCTCATTTGCCATCCAGTACAAACAGATATGTAATTTGTGTGCATCTCAGTTACAGCATAGAACAGCACTATTGTTTAAGAAATAACTTAAGCGTTAAAAGTCCACTTATATCTGTTCCACTGTCAGAACATTTAAGAAAATGCAGTTTATTTGTCTGAATTGATTCTTTCCTGCAATCTGTGCTAACATATGGCAACTGCCTTTGACTGATCATGTCATCATTTTTGACAGTAACAACAAATATTTTGCATATATTTATATTCAGTACAAGCTCAACTAATTTCATCCAGCAGGACGGTCCGTCATATATGGTTAACGTAGAAGCTACATAATGAGAATCAACTGGATATTTCATTTTTATTTTCTGAAATTAACTTTGCACATAATTTCCACAGGAATAAAATATTACATTACAAGTTTTATCACTTACTTTTGATACAAACTGTGTTTATTTTATTCATGTGGGAATGATGCATATATGTGAAACGCATCACATAGAAATATGATCAACTCACCATATCCCCCTTCTGGCTGGCTGGCTGTGTCTCTGTCTCTCTGTCTCTAAGCCCCACACGTCCTTCTTCTGGTGGGCTGTAAGGCATCGAGAGCATCCAGGCCCAGATCCGTGCCTGAACAGCTAATGCAAACATACATAGGCTCAGTATGCGCAGGAATCCTGCTGCAGGGCTCATCTCTGATGATCCAAAGCTAGAAAGAGTGAGCGTGACTTCCAAAATGGCTGCAAAATGCCTGGTAGCGTTTAATTCACAATGTTTCAGCAGCAGTAAAAGCTACAGTCCTATCTGTGATGCTGTGTCTGTCGGTGAGTTTTGACCGTCTCTGTCTTCTCTGACTTATATAGCCAGATGCAGCCATCCTTTCTCTCGTTCTTCTGTTTGTCAAAGCTGCAAGATAGGAGGAGACAATTAGTAGTTAATGGATTAGCAAAATTACTTGCCCCACCCCTTAACCCCCATTGCACTTTGGCAAATTTATCAGCTGCATAGGTGGGGGTCAGCGGGGGGGGTCGTCTGTGCTAATGGACAGATAACAGGCTCCCACAATGGGGCAGAACAAGCACCTCACCTTCTTTCACATACACATACGCAGGGTGAGGGTCTGAATTGCAGACAAACAGTCCACGGAGAGACAGCGTGGAGGGCCGCTTGCTGTTGACCTCGGCCCCCTGCCTCTGGACAAACAACTCTGCCCCCCCAACCCTACCAAAAACCCCCCACGGACCCCTCAGCCTCATGCTGGGAGTAATTTGCAGAAGCGCGTTCCACAGACGACAATGGCCACCTCATTAAACATAATTATCATCAGCGTTCCGCAGCAAACAGCGAACCCCACAACACTGCCAAAAGCCAAGAGACTGCAGTTTGTTCTTCACCATCCTGTTTTAACAACAAAACACTTTAGTAATAATAGTTCACTTTATGTACAAGCTTAAAAATAAGGGACATGAAAGGGGTTAGACCAATGCCCTAGAAGAACTCCTTTTGGGTCCCTAAACATCTTCTGAGTGGATTGTTGATGAATAAGCTATCTTTGTCCATCAAATGAACAAGTGTGAAGAACCTTTTTTAAAGTTTAAAGAACCTCCACATAATGTAAAGTTTCTATCTCAGTTAAATGTTTTGTAGAACTGTACATCCAAGCCAAAAACCATTTAGGATCCTTTATTTTTAAGAGTATAATGACTCCACATTAATAAAATGAACATTATATATTACATCAACTCAATTCTTGCCAAAAGTGAGTCAACACAAAGAAAGCATTGTGATGTTATATATGTTATTCATGTGGAACCCATGTACAAATCTGAGTCAAGTAAATCAGTGCGCTTTTTTTAAGTGTACATGTGTCTTCTGAGTTTTATATGTAATGTTGATGATGGAGAAGTAGCAGTAAACCTAAAAAACATAAAAAAGTGTATTATTTTGTCTTACAACACTCTGCACACATCTCTTTTAATGACTTTTAAGAATATGTTTTAGGCCAAAAACCCTATAAAACTGTCATAAAACAATGTCTCAGACATCAGGCAGCATATTCCGGTATATGTAAACTTTCTATGAGGGCGCTTTTAGAAGCAGTAAACTCTTTAGATGTCTGGATGTCTGGTGTGTTGGTGTGTTTCTCTAGAATGGAGCATTTCATATCAAACCACTTTGTTTACATCTTAATATGGTCTAATTATGTAGAAACTTTAGTGGAATGGAGTTGCAGCACTTCTTCATCAAGAGCATTCATTCAGACTTTTATTAACAATATAGTCATTTTATTAAGGTGAGATCATTACAGCCTAATGGACCTCACTGACCCCTTAAACTACAAGAGGCTGTATGCGGGCCCACTCACATGGTAGTTACTGAATAATAAGATTAATATCTGAATAATAAACCTGGAGTTCAAGGGGTTAACCAGTATGTTGATACATCAGCATGTGTTCTCTGGATGCACTGTCTATGGCGAACAGATGAGTCTTTACTGTCTCTCTCTTGCTCTTCTCTGCAGTCCTTCCTGTCCACATTGCTGAATACCAATGTTGTGACTAACCTTTTATGGTCAAAACTGTGAGACACCATGCTAACTTTTGACTCGTCTGTCTCCGCTCTTCTCAGCAGTGGTCAAACCGAAATGTTATTCTAATTTTGTCTCATTTTATTCTCATCATATTAGTTGACCTGTTTTGCTCCTCAGCACACAGAAAGAAGCCATTCATAAAAACTGGTGGAGTGACAGGCTTTAAACTCCAGGCCAGATGTTGATCTTTAGACTTCTTATTCAGTAACTACTGTGAATTATTCAATAACTACTATGGAACTAATATGTAAGTTATGTAGTTACAGAAGTGAAGAATGTCCACATACAAACCCTTAGAAGAGTCCACATACAAACCCTTAGTGTTTAAGGGGTTAACAAACTACTTATTTCTGCTTGTTCAGGTTGTGATGTAGGTTAGCAGTAGTGAGTGGATAAGATCTCTCAATGTGTCTGGATCATTGTGGTGGAAACGCAGGCGCATTGTGTCCTAAACCTCCATGTATACACAGCTCCTGTCTGCTCTAAGAGCATTGTCTGCCGTCTCATTAGGAGCCAATTAAAGGCCCTTATCAATTAATGATGGCTGTACTGATAATGAGGGAGAGACACTAGAGAGCGTGTCGTGAAAATGCTGTGTTTTTTTTTTTCGTGTGTGTGTGTGTGCGTTGCGGTTTTCAGGTCAAAAATGGCCTGAAAACTATTTCCGACATAGTCGCTATATCTATATGACAAATAGGTGATTACACATATATAATACATATGAAACAAATTATTATAGTTACTACCTCTTAGTGTGTGTGTGTGTGCGTGTGTCTGTGTGTGTAAAGCTGTCCGGCTGCATAGCTGCCTAGAGCAGTCAATAATATGGTCAACTACACCTACCTCATACAGACCATGCTGAAAATAAATGCATAATTTACTCAGAAGAGAATGCCTTTATATATACAAATATGCAAATTTCTATGTTGTTAATGAACACCGTCTCTGGTGAGGTGGTGTCCATAAACAAGAGAGGTAGTAGTTAAATAATTTGACTCATTTGTATGTCATAATGCTGTTTATACCACAATGTTTAGGCATTTCTTTCATTAATTTTTCTCAATAAATATTCATATTTGCTACATCTTTTACATTAGGCCATCATAGACTACACAGATCTTGGAGACCAATGCTTTAGTGCTTTCACATTAATACACAGTAGTGCACACTGGTGAAAGATTAATTGTTCTTGATTAACTGCAGTTGGTTGGGGTCATAGTTGCATATCCTCACTGTTGAAACAAAAAATTATATCTAGAAAATGTGAGCTTTATAGGAGAAGAATTTTTTTTTTTTAACTTTAATGTAAGTTAATGTACTGAGGTTATTTAGGAACATTTTAATTGGTCTGTTTGTTATGAACTTTTCACACAATGTAAAGATCAGATGCTGTTTTCAAATGAAATAAATAACAAATAAACAAATAACAACAAAATGGAGCTGGAGTTTTTGACAGCAATGTTATAATTTCCATACATGTCACTATGAATATATTTTAAGTGGCTGAAAAAAACCCCAACACTGAGCATTCCAAACTAGCGTGTCTTGGATTTTATAACACTGTCTCGGAGCAGAGCATGAATTTCAGAGGTGACATGCACTTCCTGAACAAACAGATGTGAGAAGAGAGGCAGTAAGCATCAGGGAGCAGTGTGTGAATGACAGCGTAATCCAACACAGACTGTTTATTTGGATTGACCACTATTGGTGTCCCAACACAAGACAATATATTGACGTGAAGTGTCTTGTATTGGATCCGAGTGGAGGTCTACCCCACCCTGTTTACTTTCTCTGTTAGGCCACCCTGACGTATTAACACTCTTCTTTACAAACACACACACGCACACACTCTCTCACAACGTTTAATTGGGTGCTGATCAGCCCAGCGTGGGGCAAGTTGTTCTGCAGTTAGTGTTGCGTTAGTGACTTCCAAATAAATCGTAGATTTTCCCCACTGTAAAACAGTTGGAATCCATTGTGTTGATAGGCAGACTAATGTGTGTATTGTGTGTTTGTTTCTGTGTGCGTGCAGGTCACGGGGCGTGTGAATGTGTTTTCATTTTATGAGGAATGCCTCACACATTATCTTTGCTGTCATTGGCATCTAAACATTTGTTCTGTTCCAATCAAAATAAATCTACTAGACGTTATAAAAGTGTGCTGATATGAGAACCTAAAAACCCACTTACAGCACAGGGCTTAGAAAGAGTGCAGAGTTTCATGCATGAAATCAATATTATGAAGGTTGTTCCACAACATTTCAGCAACACGTATTAAGTTGCTGTTTTCTCTCTGTTTTTTCAATCATTCCAGTTACAAATTAGAATGGATGCTTGTTGGTGGAGAATTGTCAAAGTTGATCTTATCATTGTGCCATTAACACAACTGGGACACAATGACATTACAGTGTTCTCTTCTCTTCTCTTCTCTTCTCTTCTCTTACTGTCTTCTTATCTGTTTTTTTCTCTCCTCTCTTCTCTTCTCCCCTCTTGTCGTCATTTCTGTTCTCCTCTTGTTGTCTCTTCTCTTCTCTTCTCTTCTCTTCTCTTCTCTTCTCTTGTCTTTTCGTCTCTTCGCTTCTTTTCTCTTTCTTCCTCACTAAGTAGCAGCATTGTGGGTGAAATGTCATTGGTTACTGTCATACAGTTTAGTTTACTTCCAGATTCCATTATCAGCATTGGGCGTATGTTAAGATGTGACAGGATTCAATAATAATATTTGATAACTCATATTGATATTTAATGATGTATTTATTGTATTCTATGTTGTATTGTATGCCTAAAATCATTCTAGTGAATTCAGCTCATTTAGCTCAAGCCCTCTGGAGTCTAAGGCCATTTCCTCGATTTTTGCATATCTTCTTATATTCACCTTTAAAGGCACTAAAATGCTCCATTATCTTCATTGTTATTTTCCAAAACCACTGAAGCAGCTTTGGCGCTGTAAACGTTTTGCATTGTGTCTTCAATGTCAACTGAATGAAGAAGGAAGGGTTTCCGGTGTGATGGGTCAGTCCTTAGTGATTTCCTGAGTGTCCATTGGTCAGTTTCACACAAAATGTAGAGAGACAAATCCACCAATTACACACGGAGAGGCAGATGACGCGTATCTAAACCCCTCTTCATAGCCTTATAACTCCAGATGAGAGTCACATACAATCTTGTGTTAAGATGGAATGGAAAGGGCGACTCAGAAAATGTTTCAACCGTATTTCTGCAAAGATGGAGAAACATATATAAAAACAATGAATTTGATGTGCGGGTGAATTCATGGACTCCAGAGGGTTTATGTGAACCCATTTCTGACACAGGCTATGGGGCCAGAACTAATCATACAACACTTACTAATGCTTTTGTAGCTGAATTCAATCAAATCCTCACAGCAATGTGTTAAGCATCTGGTGTAAAGCCCTCACAGAACAGCAGAGGCTGTTACTGCAGCAAAGGGGGGACAAGCAAGTGCCTGAAAACTTTTTGACAGGTTGTATGGCCATTAAGTAAAACACTGCCAGTGGAGCTGCATAGACCATGAACCATGGAATGAGTGCATCACTCAGGCCTAAAGAAGCCTGTCATTGTGTAAAACCTATATATCTATTTGAATTTATTATCTTACTCATTCAGTTGCATAAAACTCAGAGGCCTACAGAAACTACCTGTATGATAA